TGTGTTTTACTGTTGGGAGGCAGTACTCAGAGCCTGGAGTCACACCTCTGAGAGGCTGACACAGGTTGTAACTTTATTTTGCAGCTCAGTGTTGGCTACACTCCCCCCTGGCTGTTCCTAACCAACAGAACCCCAGTTCAGCTTCACCTGAAGCAGGATGTGACCTCACCCCCACAGGAGGGGAGAGCAAGGTGATCTGAAACTCCACATTACTGCTTCCATTGCAGGCCACTACGGTGACAGAAGAAAGGACTGAAGCAGCTTTTCAGGGCTCTTCCTGCAGAGCAGAAGTGTAGAGCTGACCCTGAGCTTGCGACGGGAGGGAGCACCATGGCTGAAGGTCACCACCACCTCTTCCTCCTGCTGGGGAGTTCCTGCTTCCCCCTGGACATTGCTGGTCCAGCACAAAACACTGCACAAGACACTGCCCTTATTGCTTCAGAAGGTTTCCCAGCCTGGAAGCTGCAAAAGGCTTGAACGAGGCATTTCCTCACGGCTGCCCCCAGGCACCCTGGCTTCTCACTCTGTCTGCACTCCCAGCTTACTGCTGCACCATGGAAGGAAACAAAATGGGCTGAGCACCGTCTGCACAGCCAAACAAAAGCCTTTTGGGGAAGGCAGGCACCTCATCCTCCTCCTGCTACTACTATGGAAACACATCAGAGCAGAGAACCTGTTGCCACGATACTGTAGGAGTAACCCCACCACCACATCACAGGGAGGCTGGGTGGTTGTGCTGCAGGCTGGGAGCAGCTCTGGCAGAGGGGCTGGCACCGTGGGGCCACACACTGTGCCCCAAAAACCCCCCAGGCAGGACTGCTGGGGCAACAGCTGAGGTGAGGTGTGATCCATGTAGCTGCAGCCAGGGCAACCTCACCTCTGGCAGCTGCACATGGGCAGGGTCTGAAGCTGCACCTGAGCAACGGTGCTTGGCTTTTCTAGAGGTTTTATTTTAGATTTAAAGACACTTTTAAGGAGTGTGAAATGGTATTGTTTGGAGCTCTGTGTAAGGGGAAGGTGGACAAGGCAGCACCAGGCTGCCCCGTGAGGCTGGCAGGGCCAGGGTGCTGGGGAAATGCTGCTGTGGTGGCTGAAGGGAGAGGGAAGGATCCAGCCCCTGGAGAAACGAGGACAACAGCCACGCTTAAAGTGTTTTAAATTCTATCTAGAAATAACTTTACAGAAGTTCAGAGGAGCAAAGGGCTTGGCAGGACCCAGCCACCTTCCTGTACACAACAAAAAAAACCCAAACTCACTACAATCTATTACTAATTACAATTAATTTTTAAAAACCTTACAGATGTAGCCAAGTTGTGCTGGGGTGGCAAGTTCAGAGTGAAGGGGGTGGTGTAGAAGACAATAATTGTTAAAACCTTTGAAGAAACCATTACTGTCAATTGTCCTTTTACAAGTCAGCTCGGTGATGATTCTTGCTTGACCTTTTTCAGGCTTTTTTTAAACAGACAAACATTTCACCCCTTCATCTTGCTTGGAAAGCCTCGTTTCTCTGGTCTCTTGCCTTCCAGCTTCACAGCAGAAGGTGTTTTCCCAGCAGGACTCCCAGGATAGAAGGATGCTGCCTCCCCCTGCCCCTCCCTCACGCCTGGGAGGTTCCTGGTGTGCTGCAGACGAGCAGCTCAGCATTGTCTCTGTGCCTCACAGCTCCTCTGCTCTGCTGCAGCCCTGCTCCAGGGTCCCAGTTCCTCCTCCTGACACAACCAGGAGCCAGCTCTGCGGCCAGACTCAGTGCAAAACCCCAGCAAGGACCAGAGAGGCAGAGGTCAGTGTCCTGCTGCTCGGAGTTTAATGGTCCCAGCCCCTGGCGCTGCTGCCCAGCAGGGATTGTGATCCCAGGAAAGGGCAGCATTGCTCCTCAGGAGCCAAAATCCCCAGTGCCTGGGCTGGCTCCAGGGCCACCAGTGTCCCCCAGCAAAGCCCAGTGGCTGCTGTGGTGTGAGCTCTGCAGGGCTGGGATGAATCCATGCTGGGAGGGAGCCAGGGCTGCCTCAGCCCTCCAGGATGCGGTTGATGAGCCTCATCTCCTCAGCAGTCATGGGGTTCAGGTTAAAGCCCTTCAGCTCGGGTTTGCCTGGGAGAGAACACACAGGGAAGGAGGGATTTGTTAGGAAGGGAGGGAAGCAGCCCCCCCAAACTGCAGAGGGGCTGTGGGGAGGGCAGGGACGGCTCTGGAAGCTCACGTGGGGTCACCCCACTGTGATGTGGGAGCCGTTCCTGCTGGAGCAGGGCAGGAATTGCAGAGCCCCTGGGAAAGAGCTGCAGGAACACGCTGAGCTTGGGAACTTCTGGACCCTCTGAGTCCACTCCCAGAGGCTGAGAAGGTTCCAGAACAGGAGCGTTTACCTTGAGCTTCAAAGAGGCGGTTGACCTTCACTCGCAGCTCCTTCCGGAGGTTGTTTATCTCCTCATCCAGCTGTTCCTGGTCTGAACCAAGTGGGACAGATGTGAGGAGGACCACAGGCCCTGGGGCGAGGGCAGAACCTCCCGTGGGACCCTGGGTGTGGAATCCTGTCCAGACCCCCCTGCGAAGCCTCCCCCCC